TCTTCCTAAGAAAGATCACTCAGCCGCTCAACCTTCCACTTCAAGTCTAAGATTGATTGTTGTTAACAATATCCTTTCAGCTCAAATGGGTGTTGTACAACTAGTCACTCAAGATCTACTACCTGCTGATAATCTAGTAGACCAAATTGTTTATGAAGAACAAGAAGAAATTATTGATCAACCAGTTGAACAACAAGTTCATCAAGAAGATAACGATACCCTCAAGGAAAGAAAGTGATAAGATACCCTCAAGGAACTAAGGACTACATGCTTATGTATAGATGGGCTGATAACTTAGAAGTGATTGGCTACTCAGATTCAGACTATGTTGGTTGTGTCAATTCGAGAAAATCGACGTCAGAATATATTTTTATGCTAGCCAATGGAGCTTTGTCTTGGAGGAGTGCTTGGCAAACCTTGACAGCTACTTCCAATATGGAGGCTAAGTTCGTTTCTTGTTTTGAGGCTACCTCACATGGTGTATGGATAAGGAGCTTCATTTCTGGCCTTAGAGTTATGAATTCTATATCTAGGTCATTAAGAATATATTATGATAATTCAGCTACTATTTTTATGGCTAAGAATAACAAAAGTGATAGTCGAAGCAAGCACATCGACATTAAATATCTAGCCATAAGAGAGCGTGTTAAAAATAATACAATGGTTATTGAACACATTAGCACTGAATTAATGATTGTTGATCCTTTAACTAAGGTCAGCCACCATTTAAATTTAAGGATCATGTGGAAAGGATGGGACTTGGTTCCTATATGTGATTTTCATTATTAGAATGATATTATGAAACTCTATTTGTGATATTTTTCATTCAGTTTATGCGCATCTACAGTTATTTATTCCGAGAAACATCAATTAAGTTTGGACCTAGAATAAAACAGCATTGAGTTTATTCATTAAGTTGTATGGGCTTGAGAAATATTATGTAGTGTAATACATGGAAGATACTACTCATACATATTAGAGGAACTATCGCCATAATTCATGTATTTTATTTCTCACTATAGTATATGACGAGATATGTGGACCAAGTGGAAGAGTATAAGTGTGCCTTTATTCTCGGTGACAAATTGAGAATAAGTCACAAATATGGTCCACATCTTCTCATCAATAGTCTTCCACTAATAGTCAAAAAATCCCAACATCCCATATTTTTTGCATACCACTAATAACAGACACCTTGATGGTTAGGGTCTATATATGGTGTGACTTTAGACTTTGGGGTCCCTAAGCTCACTCTTGAATTTATATTGTACATCATCTGTGTCTGAGATCTAGAGCTTGGAAGACTCATAAAGTGCTCACGGACACTCACTGATTACTTGACTCACGAACAACTATAACTCATCTTCGGAGCAACCAATAATAGCAATGGCGGAAGGTCTTTATGACAATTAATTTTTTCGCATTAGATCTAATTGCTTCTGATTGTATATAAGCATGATTAGATCATAAAGATATTTTAGAACTTACGTACACAACCTACTTTTGCGAGTTAGGAAAGTCTAACATGGGCCATGGGGAAATTCTCTAATATAACCAGGATACTCTATCTCTTATATGTGCATTGGCTACATTTATTTTTGCATTTTTTTTATACAATAATTGCAGTGAGATTAGAACCTATAATCTCATGCAGACTAGCCAAACCATTCATCACATTTCTTGCATTTTCTTAATGCGTGTTGTTTGGACATATATGAAGAAATTGAAGATTCTTTAATGAAAAGCATAAATATTTATTTTCTTAAAATTTTTAAAATTATTTAGTACTCTTCTTAAGTAATTAAGATATGCAATCTTATTTTTAATTTTTAAGGAGATAAAATAACAAAATTCAAAAAATAAATAAAAAGGTCCCTTCAAAGTGTTTTTTTTTTTTGAGATTATCCCCCAGTAATTCCATAGGTTCTTTATGAACTAATGCGGAGTTTGGGACGAGTTTATGATTAAGGCTTTAGACCTCTTCCAAATATAGTACTGAAGATGATCAAACACATACTCTTACCCTTACTTGTTCAGCTCCCATGTGCCAACTATGCTACTATTATTTGGTTCCTCCAGAGTCAAATACTATAAAAAGACTGCAGCTCAAATCTCAATGTATATGGAATAATAATTTTTGTTAGGTCACATGTTTGGCTTTTTTATATTAGAAAATGCTATTTTTTTATTATTTATCATATTATAGTTATGCTAAAGTTATTTACTTAAGTATGCCACAATTTCGAGTGTTATGTCATGAGAAGATAATTACCTAGGAATCGACTTCTCAACATACTTTTGGCTCCTTATGAACTAATTTATTGCCTTGTTAATTGTTTTGTTTTTTAAATTACCTATTTAGAAATCAATTTCTTAAAACCCACTTCTAAACATTTTTTGTTCTTTTTTTGGCAGACAAACATTTTTTGTTCTTATTTCTACGGTTTATTTATAATAAGTTAGGATTTTCATCATAAATATGTGATTTATATAAGAATAATTAGGTTTAACAAAAAAATTTAACATTAATTTAGATGGTTTTAGTAATTATATTTTTCATGTGTAATTGAGAAACATTAGATTAATATTGGGAAAAAAGTTTCCGATGTTACTTTAGACAACTTTGTCTAATGTTCATCGAAACAACGTCGTTTTGGAGTTGAAAAATTAAAAAATTACAATGATAAATGCTATTATAACCCTAAAATAAATTAAAATTACAAAAACAACATGATTTCCGTCCCAAAACGACGTCGTTTCGATGAACATTAGATAAAGTTATCTAAAGTAACTTTAGAAAAAATAAACCCATTAATATTATATACAATTTTAATGTTTGAGTCGTATAGGTTTATATATATATAGAGGTAGGATCTTTTGACACCGGTGTCAAATTTCAATTTTGACACCTCATCTGAGAGCAGTTAGATAAAAAAAATCAATGGTGTCACATGCTTGCAAATTAGAGTCGTTAATTTTTTTTGATCTAACGGCTCTCAGATAAGGTGTCAAAATTGAACTTTGACGCCGGTGTATATATATATATATATATATATATATATATATATATATATATATATATATATATATATATATATATATATATATATATATATATATATATAGGGCTTATCATTTCTCAAGTTGTCGGAGATAAAGTTATATCCGGTTGTTAAATCATAACCGTACAAAGATGGATCAATGGTGATAAAAGAAGAGAGAGAAAATGGGAATCATAACCATTCAAAGGTGAATCAATACATATAAGGAAATAAATAATCAAAACGACGTAGTTTTGGGGTGGCCCGAGATAAATTTATCTCAAGCAGCTTGAGAAATGTTTTTCCCGTATATATATATATATATATACATATATATATATATATGGAAAAAATATTTATGCAATTAATGCAGATAAATTATTTGTATTAATTCCCAAAACGACGTCGTTTTGGTATTGAAATCTTAAAAAATTATAAATATAAAGACTATTATAACCCTGAAATAAATTAAAATTACAAAACACCATGATTTTCGTCCAAAACGACGTCGTATATAGGGTTTAACATTTCTCAAGCTGTTTGAGATAATTTTATCTCCGGTTACTAAATCATAACAATACAAAGATTGATCAATGGTGATAAAGGAAGAGAGAGAAAAAGTGAATCATAACCATTCAAGGGTGAATCAATTAATATAAGGAAATAAATAAATAAAACGACGTAGTTTTGAGATGACCAGAGATAAACTTATCTCAAACTGCTTGAGAAATATTTTTTCCATATATATATATATATATATATTTATTTATTTATTTATTTCGGACGATCTAGTTGCGAAACGTCGCATGAAAACATAACCACCGGTGCATCATGATGCTTCCTTTTTTTTTTTAAAAAAGAAAGAAGGTTAAAACAGATGGTGGCTGGCCCTTTGTTATATATATATATAAACAGATGGTGACTGCCATTTGTTACATATTTTACGTTCTTGATAAATAGCATTCTTGTTACAACCCACAAATTAAGGTAACTTCCGTAATTACTTCGTAATAAAGAGTAGTCATTTTTACGTGCTTTTTATATTGGATGAAGTAAGATGTATTTTTAAATTCTATTTTGTTATTATTTTTTTGGAAAAAGTTGAACTACCATATTAATAGATTAACGAGGAATAATTAAACTAAAAAAAAAGAAGAAACATGGGGATGATCTACTCTGACGTGTGATAAAAGAAAGGTGGTATATCCAATATGAAAAGTTGTATGATCAATAATTATTGATTTCAAGAGGTAAGAAATTTATCCTCAAGTCTCGAGTTAAAATTCTGAGATTGAAAAAAAATATTATTAGGAGAGCTATTCTTAACATGAGGCGGCGCCTAACCTTATATTCGAATCAGCTACAACTGATTTTGATATAAGTTGCGGCTGTGTGCAGAAAATAATTGAGGGAATTAGTAAAGTTGTAACAAGCGAATGCGATGCACGCTCTAGTTTTATAATGATTTATGTTACTTTAGTGGTTAGCGTAGAGCTTAATTTTTATTTTTATTTTTATTTTTATTTGGGGTGGTTAACACATAACAGTCAGCTTTTAGCTTTTCTTTTTGTATTTTTGGTCACTTATAACTTGTTTTTAATTTAATTTAAGAAGTACGAACATTTTTATTTATTTTTTAGTAAAAAAAAGTACGAAGATTTAAAAAATGAATAAGATAAATTTTTACTGTCACCCAAATAAAAGGTAAAATCTTTACTATAATGTATAAGCTCGTTATTTTCATTTTCCGTGGGCCCTCAATATAGTCAGAGCCCATTGGTTATTATGCAGTCTCAAATTTTAACTAAACCGTCTCATCTTTAGAGTCATATGGGCCGGGCCCAACACTTTCCAAGTATAGAAACCAATACTTGAAAAAACGGCAACCGTGAAACTCAACCTCCGGTTACGGTTAAAAGTTAAGACCCCCAACACAAAAAAGCAGATTCCACACTCCACAACAGTATCCTCTCCTCTCACATTATAGCCATTCCCTACGAAAACCAAAAAGCTCAAAAAGAAAAACACCTTCTTCCACCACCATCAGAATCAACCATCACCCCCGAGACCCAGCACATGGTTCCTCTTTCTTCTATCTCTCATTTTAAGTAACTTTTGTCCAATTATTTATTTATTTATTTTCATAAACTAACACACTCTGCAACATTTTAATATTCAATTCTTTTTTTTCTTCTTTTCCTTTTCTGTTTCGTGCAGAGAATCTCTGATTTCGTAATTGAAGTCACTGATGCGCATGGCGTTTAATCGTACCCGTTCCTCGGTCTTCGTGCATTCTAATCCAATTCGAAACATCTAAGCTTAACTTACTTCTACTTCCTCTTGTTTTTTTCCTCTTCATTTCGCAAACTCGATCTCAAAAAAAAATAGGAAAAAAAAAAATGCTTACATGCATAGCACGTCCTAAGAAACTCGGGGAGGACTCGGTGAGTCACGTCGACGATTCGGACCCAAGCAACAATGCGAAAAACCAAGCTGTGAAGTCCCTCACATGTCAGATAAAGGACATGGCGTTGAAGGCTTCGGGGGCGTACAAGCACTGTAGCCCGTGCGCGGCGCAGAGTCGACTCAGAAGCGGAGCCGCCGAGTCTGACGCGGACTCGGAGCGGTTCCGGCGGTCGTACCGGAGGACGAGGACTTGGGGAAAGGAGATGGAGGCGAGGCTCAAGGGGATTTCCAGCGGGGAGGGGACGCCGAGCTCAGCCACCGGGAGCAGCCGGAGAGTGGTGCTGCTGATGGAAGATGACGAGCCTAAGGAGTGGGTGGCGCAGGTGGAGCCCGGCGTTTTGATCACCTTCGTGTCGCTTCCGCGTGGCGGGAACGATCTCAAGAGGATCCGCTTCAGGTACGTACACCTCTCTCTCTCTCTCTCTCTGTGTGTGTGTGTGTGTGTCGTATCGTTGCTTTCGATGTCGTTTTGAGTCGTAGTTAAGAGTTCAGAGACGGTGACTGTGTATGTAGTGCCCTAGTGATAATGACAATGGTGCCTTTCTTTTTAGCTACGGTGGACTGTCAATTTCTCATAATTGACACTAAATCACTATCGGTAGTTACTTTCTTTTGTTCTTCTTATTTTTTTTTTTTTTAAATATTATGCTTTGTATGTAGTTGGATTGGATTTGCACTAGTAGGTTATGTAGTAGGTTCTTCCTTCTTTGTTCTTACCTCTTAGGCTTGTGGTTTGTTTGGGGGGTAACGCCTTGAGTTTCTGTGTGTTGTTTTATTTAGTTTATCGCAATAATGAAAATGAGTTGGGAACTCCGAGCTTGGGATTCGTTTCCATGCATGATTGGCTTTATTTTTTTATTTTTATTGTTTTGAACATATGATTTATTAGGGTGAAAAGTATTATGTAATTTGATCTAGATTCATATTTGCATTTAGTATTTATAAACAAATATATTTTACCAAACAAAAGTAGAAAATTAACAGGAAGATACTAGAAAAAATATTTTTAAAAGAATGAAAAAAATAATTTCTGAAGTTTGGTTGTTATATGAATTGATATTAGGAAAAAAAATATGTTTATGTAATACTGATTTGAATGTAAATATGATAATAATGTCGAAAATAGAGTGCAATTTTATGTTCCTTACAGTTTATGTACAATGCAATGTTGGACTGCCAAAAAAATAATAGATTGCAATTGATTAAAATAAAAATATATAGCACCAAAATATATGATAAATACACAATTATAAGAAAGAGAAATGTTATATTTATAATCTCCTTTTCCTTATAACCTCTTACAATTATTTTTATATTTGTTGAATCAAAATCAAATCAATGATTCTCATTTAAATTTTTAATCTACGTCACATTTTCTTTCTATTTCTTATTTCAGTTGATATAACTATTCACCCTTATATATTAAATTAGAGTATCGCTTTAGAGTGGTTTAATCCTTTATAATATTATTTTAAATTTGAATTTAATTTCTTATTTCAGATGATATAAATATTTTTTATAGTTTTAAATATTTGTTAATGCATATTTTTATTTTAAATTTTTCTTTTATTTAAGTTTTAAATTTTATCTTAATTGAGAAATATTCTTGCAATATACAAATACTTACCGATAATTTTAAAATTTTATAGATTAGTGTCATCTGATTCGGTGGTTAAAAAGGTAAAACTCAGAATAAATAGCTATATATAATTTCTTCAAAAATGCTAACACAGCCTTGTCTATTTTTATTTTTTTGGAAAAGAGCCGTGCCTATTTTGTTTTGGTGAGAAAGGAACTTGGATTAAAAAAGAGGTAACAGGTTTGAAGGCCGTGCCTTTTCTGACCACTATTATCAATTATGCTAAGCTTACTCGTCACTAGCCCTTATTGTTGAAGCATCCAAAGTCCAATTTCCCAATGCCAAAAGTGGTTAACACGAACCGTCTTCTGTAAAATCTGAAAGGGTTTTAGGCGGGGCCCGCATTCCCCTGTATTTTCACGCCTTTGCCAAAAAGCATTCTAAAAAGTGGGTCCAAAAGCAAAACTATTGTGGTTTGAAAGTGGTTGTGGGCCAGTGTTAATTGCGTTGGGATCCTTTAAACTGGGGATTTGTCGTTTGGTCGGAGGAAGCTCTGCTGCTTTCTATTCAAATTTCTTCATGCCTGATTCTTCGTGACTTTGTCTTCCTCTAAATCTGCAATTTGCTGGGGAATGCTTCCATCATCTTCCACTCTGGAACTGTATACAAGACAAAGTGTGAACCTCTACTAAGTGGGGACCTAACAAAGTTGTATATAGATAACATAGGTTATAGTCTTGTACTCTTTCTGCCAAACTTCGTATTTGTCTTTCTTTTATCTTAGGATAAAAGCAAAAATGGCGTTAGTGTATTTTGGTCCTACTTGGTGACTTGAGAGGTACAATCCCAACCAATATGGTGCTGGTGGGTCACTGGGTGGGTCAATGCATAAATGATTTTCACCTTCTCTATTTCTCCCCCCTGAATTTCAGTTCAGATATTTAAGACACGGTCGTAAGCTAATATTAAAACCTACTGAAAAATCTAAAATCATTTCATTGTTTGGTGCGTTTAGTGATCAAGTTTGGACCCACCTGCTTTCGATTGCTTAGACAACTACCTTTAAGGTCAGTGTTGGCCTTAGAACAGCTTTATTTCCTGCACTGAGTGACCGGTTCTGCTTTTAATTATTCATCTGAGAATTCTTTGTCAAAAAGCATCTACTTGAGTGACCTAGCATAATTGACAAGAGTGTCATACAGCACAAAAAATTTAAAATTCGTCTAAAAATTTTGTCATCAAAATAGCATAATATTAAGGGTATTTTTTCCCCCTTTTTTGTTTACGTATCCTCATTTTATGCGCTTTATATATTTTTATGTGTATAAGAGATAATATTATTTTTTTTGTAAAGGATAATTTTATTTTCATAAAAAACATCGAACCCTAATTTTAATAGCAACAAATTGTAATTAATTTGTTGGATGTTTCAATCTTAGACTCTCGCGGACCACTCCGTATATTGAAGAATATTATTATTTAACATTCTACCTAACATCCAGCAACAAAAGAAAAAAAATGAACACAGAAAGGGATAAGACAATAGGAACCGTTCAGTTCTCAATTTTTTTTTCAGGGGTAAATAATTTTCATTAGTTTTAGATTACGGTTGCATTTGTTTCTTTTCAAGATGCAGATGCTTCGCGTCATAGTGCTCCATCTCATTTACATATGATATGATGACTTCCACGACTGATGAGTAACGAATTGAATTATAGTTTAATTTTTTATGTATATAGTCGCGAGATATTTAACAAATGGCAAGCTCAAAGATGGTGGGCAGAGAACTATGACAAGGTCATGGAACTTTACAATGTTCAAAGGTTTAACCGCCAAGCTTTCCCTCTTCCAACTCCACCAAGGTCTGAAGACGAGGTAAATTCTGAATTTAGGTAGCTCTTAGACATGTGTCGCGCACAATTTTGTAATCGGAGCTGCATGCTCCTTGAGCCAAAACTTATTTCTGCCATTTTTCTCCTATACATAAAAAAAAATAAATTACAATTTTAGTTTTTATAAGTTGTATTTAAATCTTCACTCACTTCAACCACTTGGGTTAAAACTCAAAAATAATCACTGCCCATATCTTTAGATTGTTGGTATTTTTATCATTTTGTGATGTAGGCTATTGGTAATTTGGTATGCAGATGCATACATGTGATGGCAGTGGTGCAAATAACAGTATTTATTCAAGTAGTTGTAGTTCATCATAGCAATCACTTTGGTCAAGGCCTATGAATAGTTTCTCAATGTGAAAAGTTTATATTTAATAATGATAATATACTTTAAAATATTTAAAATTGTTTGAATCCATAAAATTAAGTATATTCATTATATAAAAATAGTAAAGTTTTGACCTTATTTTTACTGTTTTTGTTTTGTGAATTTTTCTGGGTTGAAAAGCAGAGTTCAAAGCGTGAATCGGTAGAAGACAGCCCTGTCACACCTCCACTGACTAGGGAACAGCTACCTCGTAATTTATACCGTCCAGCAGGGATTGGAATGGGGTACTCATCCTCAGATTCCTTTGATCATCAATCAATGCAATCCCGGCATTACTATGACTTGAGTGGTATGAACTCTACCCCAAAGGTGTCCACCATTAGTGCTGCCAAGACGGATATATCATCAATGGATGCTTCTATAAGAAGTAGCTCATCTAGAGAAGCCGATCGCTCTTGTGACCTATCAATCAGCAATGCCAGTGACTTGGAGACTGAATGGGTTGAGCAGGATGAACCTGGGGTTTACATTACCATCAGAGCTCTGCCAGGTGGCAAAAGGGAGCTCAAACGAGTCAGGTTCAGGTACGCTTGCCACCATTTTTATGGCTAGAAAATTCCCTTGGGCTGTTCATCTTTATGCCAAAAATATGATGATTTAACTCACCACAGGTTATGTGGCTTGAAGTTTTAGACATCATTCCTGGGATTTAGGAGGTTCTTAGTAGTTCATCAATACCCAAGCTACTATTAGAAATAGTCATCCATGTAGAGATATAAAATCATCATTTCTGAGCCTCTACCTAGCACATAAAGTTTTTAGTAGAATTGATAATTTTCGACATAAAGCTTTATGACCCAATTCTCCCCCATTTTTAACAATGAAATTAAAGTTTAAATACTAGTTAAAATGAGCATGCATGGTTCATGCTTCATGATTCAGCTTAATTGTTTTGGACCGATGGCCTTTGACAATGTTAGTTGTTTGCTCACTGTACCCTTCTGTTATGCCTGCGGAGCCCAGTACCAAAGGCAGAGTAAAAATCCCTAGGATATATATGACCAGACTCAGTTTTAAGCCAGAAGCGACTTCAAAGTTGAAATTGCTACTCTGATGCTTTGTGTTTAGTCATTGTGCTCCTACAAGTAGTCTCAGATTCATAACCATTGTATAAATCTAGGAATGGGAAATTGGAAAAGCGCAATTTGAGTTTACTTTTTTAATTGTATTCTGATGTAGAACTATATAGAATTTATTTCTGGTGTTTCCTCATATGTGGTGCAGCCGAGAAAAATTTGGGGAGATGCATGCTAGACTATGGTGGGAAGAGAACCGCGCCAGAATACATGAAAAATACTTGTGAGATTTATCAAAGGTATGGCTGTTGGTGCTTTACAAAATGTGGAGGTGGTGTTGCTTATTATTTTGTTTAATCTCTGTTTTTCTATATAAAACCTCGTTATAGGCGATTAGATGTCATAACGGTGCTACTTGTACCTCTACCTTTTTGGGCCATATATACATCCCTAGACCCTAGCAAGCTCGAGTCTCATCTTCGTGCGATCGATTCTGGTTCTTCTCTTGGATGTAGGAAGTAAATTTAGCATCTATTAGTAAAAGAGCAACTGTTTTCTTGAAACTTCTAAGAAATGAGTGTAAATTATATAGCTGTTCAATTTGGATACAAAGAATGGATCTACTCATTATTTTTTGTTTCTTAAGCATCCAACTTGCAGCGTCTACATTCAGATATCTGCTATGATGAGCAAAGAAATGAACTTGCATGTGCGATGGAAGGAAAAACTTGTAAGCTCATAACTAGTGATATATAATGGCCATCTTTAACTACCCTCATTCACGTTCTATTTCACTTTCAACCATGTCCACTGACACTGTAATGCCCGAGTTTCATAGATCTCGTCTTCCTTCTGCAACTGAAAAAGAGAATAATGAATAGAAGAGAAGGATGCGTTTACAATTTTTTTTACAAATTACACTAAGTATGACCGGTCATACACTCTTGATTAAAAATTTGTAAGAGTTTGTAAACAAAAAATTTGTAAATATAACCTTCTCTTTCATATAATTCAAAATAAATTATTTAACGATATAGTTTTATTTTTTAAATTAACAAATAGATTTTTTTAATCTAATTATCTTTGTTCATTAAAGAAATGGGGTTTCAATCCGTGACGTTGCACTAAAGAAATTTGGTCCTGCAAAAAAGTATAACTATATACTACGAGTAATAATAGTTATAATATTAAAAAAAAAATTCTCTCCTCATAAGGTTGTTGACTGATATAGAGGGGAGAAAAAAATAACTTTAATATTATAACTATGTACTACCTATAGTACATAGTTATAATATGTAACATAACCAGATTTTTCTTCTTACAATATGATTTTTATATTTTCCAAAACAAATTGGCAAAATGGGTCAAGCTGACTTGCTCCACGGCCCACTTTTAACCCGTAAAAAATTATTGAGTAGGCTAGAAATATCAACCAATCCTGTTTTGAGGCAGGTTAATGGGTCAATTTGCCTAAAATATAAATCTATTAGGAAAAAAATAAATATATTTAATATTAATTTTTTATTTCTAATATCTAATATCTAAATATCTTTGAAGTTTGAAATAAGCCTCAAGCAATAACCAACGAGAAAATAATGGTTTAAGCCAAATATTTCATTTAATATAGTTACATAAGTTATGATTTAAGATTTATTAATAATTTTAGTGTTATTATATAACAAAAAAAATGACATATCCATGTAAATATATGCAAATGAATATATCATTGCATCTTGTAACTAGAATTTCATAAGCATCTGGTTTGATTTGTATCAATACCAGCATTAAAATTCAAAAACAGACTTGATTTTTTTTTTGTTAATATCTTTTTTTACTAAATCAAAAGTGAATAAAAAATAACATCCCTAATGAAACAATAGCATTATGACCCTAAAAGAAAATTTTATGTCACAATCATTAGCACAAATTAATAAAGTCATCATCTATGTATTTAAAAAAAAAATCAAGTCATCATCTAAAACTTAACATTTTTTTTAAAAATAAAAATGATAACTGAATTGAACTGTCCTACCCTCCGTTTTGACCCGCCTACATACGAGGCGGGTTGTGTTGGGTTGACAAGTTAAAATATACAACCCAACCTGTCCCATAGGCTGGTTGACTGGTTGACCTGTCGCTTTGCTAAGCAAAATTATATTTATATTTTCTTGATGAATATTTTTTATAAGTTTAAACTTAAATAGTTATATATCAAGTATTGAAAAAAAAAATTACGAACAACATATATTTAATAATATTTTAAATTAATTATTAGAGTTAATAATTAAAATATTTCTAATAATTAATGTTTAATTTTCAGTCTCTTTCTTCATTAATATACTATTGAAGTAAGTCTAAAGATTTACTCTTATATAATTACATATTTTAATTAATAATTAAAATAAAAAGTCAAATGATCTCTCTTCATTAAATTTAGAGGAGTGTATTGGATTGGAATTTAAAAGGATTTTAATGGATTATTTTTGAACAAAAAAGTCCATGGATATTCAATTAGGATTTTAATGGATTGAAAAAAAGTCATATGGTATTCGATTAGGATTTTAAAAGATTACTTTAGAGTTCGTTCAAATCCGTCGGTATTCAATCAAGATTTTAAACAATAGAAAAATAATCTTGTGGTATTCAAAAATCTAACGATTTTAATGGATTTTCTATTGGTATGGATTTCGTGAGACTTTTTATTAAGAAATATAAATATGATGTTTCTCTCACAATCTCACCCTAATTCCTAGGATTTCTTGAGATTTCTCTATTGCAGTGTTTTTTTTTTCTTTTGGCAGGTTGACCCGCTTGAAATCGAGTTCCGCCATGGGAGCTTCGTCAAAACTCAAAAATAACATATTTTTTAGCGATTTTCGTTACAAAACAACCCAGAAACAACAAATCAACGAGATTTTAATATAATCAAAAACAACATATTTTTTTTAGCCATTTTTGAGAAATTTTGGAAGTTTAAAAAATGATTTTTCGCGCTATGAGTCGCGATTTTTCTTGGCACAAAATGTGTGATTTTTGTATTAAAAATAACATAAAATAGTGAAAAAATAACAGGGGAACTAAAATCCTCAAACCGATTTTTGTTTTACATAAATGAAACAATATCAATTTAAAGAAAAATTGAAACTTTCATAATATGAACCCTATATTTCGTAACAATACATTCATGAACGAAATTCATTTACTATAGGAAACGATTTCAAATAATATTTGTCTCAATAGATAACTAAAAACTTATTTTTCAAAAGCCCCAAAGTAATTTAAGGTTTCAATGTATCGATTGAAAGTTTTTTGAGAAATTTCCTAAACTTTCATATAATAAAACCCAGAAATTCAAATTCAAAATTTTCTTAGAATATTCAATGAAAATATGCATATGATATATGGTTAGAAAATTCTCATCACGTAGAACAAAATCCCTAAGGTTTTCAAGATCAATTGCAAAAAATTCTAAACAAAATTTTATCATGAACTTTAGGTTCTATATGCAAATTTATAATTATTTTAATAATTAAAAAAATTGGGTCTTATAATCATATATGCATAGCTTTGATCTATGTAGCACCGATACTGACACGGGACATGTGACACGATACGACACGACACTTCAACATGTTAATTCTAAAAAATATTAGATTTCGACACGTTAGGACACGTTTTGATATTAAGTAATATTTTTAATTCATGTAGTATATATTATATTTTAATATTCAATAATTTAACAAAAAAATATATCTAAACTTATAATATTCATAAATTTTGAAAAGAAACATAAGATATCCCAAATATTTATATTAAACTCAATAAAATGGTAATCGTAATTCAACGAATCTAATAGTTAGAATTAAAAATTCAACGCAACTTAACATTTGAACCTTTTTTTGAATTTCTATAACGCGTGTTGAAGTGTCGAGGAGTGTCGGAGTGTCCGAGAGTGTCAGAAAGTGTTGGACACGACACGTCAGGGTTTTTGAAGTGTCGGTGCTTCATAGACTTTGATACCAAATGAAGAAGATAATTTTCAATCCATTGATCAAACCGTAGGAACTAGAAAATGATAATGCATGGAGCATAGTTATTAAAATCTCGATTTATCACTACGATTTTACGTTTTTACGATTTTTTTTCATCAAAACGATTTTACTAATATTTCAAATACTTTTACATTTTTACAATTTTTTATGGTTTTTTTACATTATGATTTTACGTTTTACGATTTTTTAATCTCCCTCTGATTTTACTTAAGATCTCGATTTTAACAACATTGGCGTGGAGGACTAGTATAACTTTAGATATGTGAAGAGCGGTTGTTTAGTAATTTAAAATGTTTGTTAAAAATTATATTATGTTTTACTAATTAAGAAAATTATATTAGGTTTTATTTTTTTTTATTAATTTCATTGCATTTCTTTGTTATTTTTTTATTGACTCTTGTAATTTTGAATGTTTGTTAAAAATTTATATGGTTTTTTAAAATCTTATAAATCTATATTGTCCTTTCAAATCTTATAAATTCTATTAAAATCCTTTTTATAAATCCAATCCTATGAAATCTTAATTGTAAAAAAAGTCTTAAAAGTCCCTCCAATTCTAAATAGTATTTTAAAATCTATAAGATTTTTTATTTCGAAAAAAAGTCTTTTAAAATCCTAAACCAATACTCCCCCGTTAAATTTTATTATTGTTAGATCTCACTTTGATCTCTTCTCATTAAATAAGATAATGTAAACTATTAAATTAAATTATGATCAATGGTAAAAAATTAACGTAAATTCTTACAAGGTGTGAATTCACACCAATTTTGAAATGACAATTATAAGTGTACACATTGTCTCTGTATAACATGCACAACTTACGTAATAGGCTGATACTAATTAAGCTTGTGTCTTTTGAATTAAATTTCATCGTGTTTATTATTGTTTCTTTTTTGGCCCTTTCAAGTTTAGTGGTGTTATAATAATCTTATTAGGATTATATTTTAACCGTTGATTAGGATTATAATAATCTTATTAAATTTCATTTTGGAAAAGGTTATATTTATAACTTATTTCCGTTTACAACTTCTTACAACCATATCTTAACTATTAATTTTCGTCAATCAACAATTAAGATTTTCGCAAATTAAATTTATTAATTAATTATTAATTCATAATAAGTGACAACTATTGATTGATAAAAATCAACGATTAAGATATAGTTGTAAGAGTTTGTAAACTATTTGGGTTGTAAATATAACTCCTCACATCTTATTATGCGAGTACCTTTGAGGCCAAAATTAAGGCTTTTTCTCTTCAGCTTTGTTATTTATAGATTAAAATTTATATACGACTTTTAAATTGGAAATTAATGAGTAAATAACTATGACTTATTTGTACTATTTGAGAATCGTAATATTAACCGATTACCAATACCAGATAATATGCACTGATAAATAGTTACTTACACACCAAGCAGTTAGGGATATTCACGGTCTGGATTAGTTTTAAAGTAAAAATCATCCGGTTCAATCTCTTTAATTTGATAATTTAATCATTCATTCGAGTTTTTTTTAAATTAGATCTAATTCAATCC